ATGCCCAATAGCGAGTCCCGCTCGATTGCCGCATTTTCCACAAATATGAGCCGTGAAGCAGTAAATTCGATCAAGTTTACCATTGTTTCTGAGAGTTCGACATCAGCAACAATGACTGCTAAGCGAGACAGTACCTTTCGGCATTGGATTAAGATATTAGCGATGACCTTTTTCTGGGCCAAGAGAAGTTTGAAGGCCACAGCCGCAGAGCCAGTGCTACGCATCTCAACGACTGGAATGATGCAGTTATCCATAACATTTCGGAAAACGTTGAGGGTTGCTTGTAAAACATCCTCCGAATAGATTTGATTCTCCTCCCGATGTCCTGACATCAACCGTAGAGATGTGCGTGCTGCTTTGAGACCCAGATCAGCAACGAAACTCTGCTGAAGCCACGATTCCACTTCAGACTCTCCCATGCTTCCGTGGACCTTGATGTCAACTGTCTCGCCATCTCTGAGGCCGCCGAGCACGAGGTTCTGCAGCCGAAGGAGATCTTCCACTGGCGCCTCGGCAAATCGCCTTGCTAGGATCATCTTCGTAATTAAGTCCTCAACTTTGTAATTAGCAACTGGACCAAGGGTGAAGCCCTCGGTGGTTGGGACGAAAAGGGAGTTTGACGAGCAGTTTTCGGGGTGCATTTGCTCTTCAGCTTCAAATATTTGCTGTAGGTAATAACGAAGATTTCGAGATGCAATATCTGCTTTTTCTCGTTGATCGATGCTCATAAAAGATCCGTCGTTCTCTCCATCAATCTGAGATCGCTTTCTCTTGCGTGATAAATGATTCGGGATGTCCGTTAAGTCTGGAACCGTCTCGTAATCTCGTGGATTGAAGGCGCAAGGTAGATCTGGTATAACAATTGCTAGGCCTGGGCTTGAATCCGAGTCGGGGGCAGATGCGCGAGCTGTAGCAGTTGATATTGACCTTGAAGGAGTGGTCTCGGAATGCAAGCCCGTATGGGTTTGATCTTTAACAGACGATTTTGGAAGGTGACTTATCGCCAGGGTTGGAGATTCAACGGTTGTTTTGATATCTGACTTGCTTAATTTCTTCGACGGTGTAGCATATTCTTCGTGTGGAAAGTCATCGGGGAGGCTAGGAATGACGATTTGGAACCTCGAGCTTGGTTTGATAGGAGTCGAAGGTTGTCGAGGGGTAGCAATTGGAGCTTTGGGTTGTGCTAATGAAGGTTGAACTGAAAGGTTCGAGTTATGTGAAACTGCCTCAATATTTGATGCTGACAGGCGACCGTCCGTTTTAGGGGTCGAGATATGCTTCTTAGGTGAGTGGATGAGAGGTGGAAGGTGACCTTCAGATGGATGTCCAATAGGCGATTTTTGGATTGTATGCTGGGCTTTACCATTGGTTGGCTTCGAACTGAGATACTTGGAAGACTGATACTTCAGTTTGCTGGAAGTAAGTTCAAGCACCTTCCGAGCAACCGGCGACAAGGAAACTCCTGCTGGTTCCACCATTGCAGCTTCATTGGGCAGCTTTGGCAGATGTTTGAATTTACTGCTAGGAGTTAGCTTCTGTTGTACAAGATGTATTCCAACGGGCCATACAAATGTGTCAATCCATGGGGCTTCAGAAGCTCTTTCAAGTCTTCCAGAGTCTGCTGGAGCCGCTGTGATGTGTTTCCTGGATTAGCAGTAGCCTCTTTATTCAAGCTGTCTAAATGCTGCCTGCCTCGAGCGCGCTCCTCCGGCGTCGCAAATAGGGAAGCAGAAGGATTACGACCAACTGATGGGAAAGGTACGATGTCTGCGGACCAGTAATTAGTCCATGGTTTCATTTACTGGACCAGAAGAGTAACCTGAGTTGAAGGGAACAACAGAGGTATATGTGGTCAAAGGTAATGCCTGGTCTACCGTCAAGACCCTCTGAGGAGGGTTCTGTGTGCTGCTGCCCGCGGCATTTTCGTTTTGCACATCCATCTCGCCATTGCTGAGAACACCGTGGGCGTCCATCTCCATAGTCAAGACCACCAGGTGCGGAAGAAGGGGACGAGGAAAACGATTACGACGAAGGATGAGAGGCGAGTGTTTACGACATGGTGTATTGCAGTGAGTTTGACCCTTCTCGAAGCCTGGTACGGTGGGACAATATCAATGCGCTTTGATATAGTTGTTGGCACAAATGGGTTGTAGACGAAGGGATGCTACGAGGCTGGAACTGCTGATTGTAATTGCTTGGCAGGTGCAAAAGGCGGCACTACAAAAGTGGACCCACTGACACGCAATAATCCTTGCTTTCGAGAGCCGCCTTACTAAGAAAGTCTACCCAAAACTCATCCTCCCATTTTTATTTGCGCGACTTTCCTTTCAAGATACAACGTCTCCCCAAGTCAAAATGTCTGCTGTTGGATCTCTAGTGTTCTGCACGGATTGCGGAAATCTGCTTGATTCCTCCACAGGAAACATGAACCATGTCTTAGTCTGCGATTGCTGTGGAGCAGACAACCAAGGTTTGTAGCATCTTTCTCGTGAGTCTCGTTTCTAATCGGCAAGCTTGCAGACGCTGCTTCGAAAACCAGTACCACAAAATCGAATCCCGCGAATTTCCCCTCAGTTCTACGACAACAGCGATCGGTGATTCAAAAGGTGGAGCGGAGTGATATGAAGAATACTACCTACGCCCAGGAGACCTGCTCAGAATGTGGGAGGAGAGAAGTTAGATTCACCTCGGCACAATTGAGAGGCGCAGATGAAGGAAGCACGATTTTCTACGCATGCGAATGTGGGCACAAGTAAGTATACTCGGGGTTCAGATGTGGGGGCTCATGCTAATGTTCGAAGGTGGAATACCAACAATTAAACTCGAGACTACAAGCATCATGAATATTTTCTAGACAAGCCCTGGATTGTGGATTGGTATTTTGATAAAGTGGTGATCAAATTGCTATTAAGGCCCAAGCACTTTGGTGCCTAGCATGAGTGAAGGACAACTAGGCGGCGGCGGTCTCTGGAATCAAGGCATATTCGACCTCTCCACCCTTCTCAAACTCGGCCATATCCAAAGCCACAACCACGCTCTCTCGCACTACCTGCTCCTCATCGTTTAAGAAAAGCTTCAACGTAGCCTCGACACCATCTTCCTCGCCCAGACTTCCCAAGGCCTCTGCCGCTTCGTGTCTGACCATACTCTCTTCCTTCAAATCCGCCAGAGCTGCAGTTAACGCTGGGATGGATGCTGGGTGCGACAATTGTCCAAATACAAAAGCGATCTCGTGTCGGAAAAGAGCTGAAGGGTCAGCAAAGCCCTTTGCAAGGGCAAGGACTGATGGGACCGCGGTTGGCAAGTCTGGTGGCGATGCAAGATCTCGTAGACCGAACATGGCTCTGTAGCGCAGGAATAATGGTAGTTTAGTGTCCAAGAGCTTGCTCTCAAGGGTCCCGATGGTTTCTGCTTCCTCCATGAGTGGCGTTGGTGGTGCAGGGTCGATGGACGCGAAGTCGCTATAAATGAAGCAGTTAGCAATGCCGCATGCAGAATCCCGCGCAAATGACGAGGTAGAATTAAATTGAATCAAACTTACCTTATCCGCAACTTTTCAACACTCCTCGCCTCTGAGTTCTCCCACTCAACTCTCGCAACAGCTATCTCGCACGTCTCCCGAACCACCTGAACCTCCTTCACATCATCTCTCATTCCCCGCAACACTTCCAAGCTACCCACATCTCCAATAGCACCAAGCGCCTCTGCGGCCTCATGTCTACACATACTATCCTCCTCCTTGTCCTCCAATACCACCCTCAAGAAGGGCACAGCTGCCATATTCTTCGTCTGTCCCAAGCAGTATGCCAACTCATGCTTCAATAGCGACGATGGCGACTTAAAGCCAGCGGCAATTGCCTGGATCGCAGGAATCGACGACTGGCATGCTAGATGCTTCAGGGAAAAAAGGGCGCGGAAACGGCGTGCAAGGGGTTCGGATTCGGTGGTGAGGGTCTTGCGAAGGGCGAGGATGGCGGGGTCTTCAACGGGGGGAGGGGTAGTCGCCGATGGTGCCATGATTCCTTGCTGAGTATTTTCGTGCAAGGAAGTTTGGGAAATTCCCGGATATGGAAGAGGGAATGCGAGTCTCGGTGGCCTTGTGGCCTTGTTTGCGAGACAAGTCGTTTGACTTTACATACAAAGAGGTGTGGATAATGCAGCGCGAAAAATAAATCTTGCGGCAAGGCAAGCTCTCGCACGCAGCAGCGGCCCTAGTAGACTGTCGGGTAATTATCGGCAGTTCTCTTATCGCCGTCTCAGATGTCCTTCGAGAATTACCCGTTTACTCTATGTCCAGCCTCGAGATATTCGCGCCCTTTATTCCCTCGGGGTGGGCTCCGAAATTCAGAGAGGTTTCCAGCTTATCCATTTCAAGGTCTAAACATCGACTTATTACATTGAAAAGTTGCTTAAGATATATTTTTCAAGGAGATCCCAGCACGGGGTTACGAAGCCTTGGTGCCCCTATATAAATATGAGCCTCGAAGCATTTCAAGTGTTGGTTTTACCACACCAATGTTAATCTACCGGTAGACACCTGTTCCGAAATCAGAAGTCAGCCATGCGCGAGCAGAAAGGATGAGTGCCCGCGAGTCAACGCCTTGCCTCTACGTTGTCCTACTGTAACGAGGACCAGAAAAACAAAATCTTCAAATCTTCTGAATTCACCTCGTCTAATGTTAACAGTTAGTATTATGCGGCGTATGTATTTGATCAATTGTTCCGTTGTAGTATGGTGGTCTTTGATATAGCTTCGAATAGTGAAGTGTCATTGACAATGCACATTATCACTGCAGTTGCATCAGTCTCGGTAAGTAGGTAAGGGGCGTTGTTTGTTCGATCATGGAATCGTTTAATTAACGCAATGGTAATGGGTCAAAATTCCTAGGATGCATTTATTATCGCGGAAAACTTTCACGTTCCACGTATATATTATAGTATTGCGGAAACGTGCTTAAGATTGAGCCAATCAGGCGCAACAGCGTTTGATCAACCCTAACGGTTCATTGGTGTAATGGTTAGCACGTCGGATTCTGATTCCGGAGATATTGGTTCGATTCCTATATGAACCTCTACAATTTGTGGAGGTTTGTGAGTCCCTCATTCATTTGAGTTCTCATGTGCAATTCTTTTTGCATTTAGTTTGCATGGTCCAGTCCTTTCATAGAGTCTGGCTTAGCCACGGCGGGGCCCTCGCTTAGTAGGCTCTCGGCAGCTGAAGAAAACGGCGTTTATTTTGCCTACCCATTGACGCTGAGGGTGCCTCGTATAGTTGGCGTAGTTGTGATTCTTTGCCGAAGCACTGTGGCTATAAAGCAAACTATATCTATCCATTACTTGCCGTATCAACTCAATAGTATACTGATCTACGAATCGTATTTCAGTGTTTTACAAACCGCTACATGAGTTCCACAGCAGAAAAGTAACAAAGGGTCCATTTTAGAGCAATCACATGGCTCAATTATCACTTGAAATTCATAACCATGAAGATATCTTATCTTCCATTCCCAGCCCCCCATAATAATAGGGACTATCGCGATGACATGGTTTGGAACATTGAAGGGCCCTTAAATTTACCCCACATCAGATCCACAGGATATTGCCAGATGCTGCGAAGCCATTTGTCGCGGCATGTACACCCATAACCTTGAACGTACTTGCAAAGATGAATCTGGATAATACGAGCGAAGGCAGTAATATATGTATGGACATTTACCAATGTTCCCTTTGCGAGGGACTAACTCGGTGGTAGGATAGATTGTAAACTTGTTGGCAGACGTGTGCCCAAAAGGCAGATGAGAGAATGTCATCGAGGTTGCGGGTAGTCAGCGGATGTGGAGAGAAGCATACAGTAGCTGGAGGATGACACATATCCTGCCAGTCTCACCGCATCGAAAATTACGGTCGGTGGATCGAAGGGAATAATTTCGAGAAGGAGCGGACAGGCAGGATCGAGGAAGGAAGCTTTGACGAAGACTCAGAATGGATTGATTGATGTCGACAACGAGTATATGATCAACATTGAGGTGGAGCCTGATGAAGAGAAGGATTACGTATGGTTATGGACCAATTGATGTTGAGACGCCTTCTCTCTCAGATGTTTGATGTTGAAAGAGCAATGAGTGGGTGGATTGTGCCCCACTTGGCGACTTGCTGGAGAGTTGTGTCACGTGATTCCCCTTAGCGGAATTTGGCGCTAGATACTTCCGGGTTCTTCAATGTGCATCTGATGTGGAGATTTAGAAAGAGCATATCCGTATCTAGAATTGGGAGGCTATCCCTTGCTGATTATGGCGTAGCCAACAACGCTGTCCGACGCTTAGCATTTCGAACGCATTGTGCCTCGTCCTTACTCGCTAGAAACTCCAAGCCCCTAAAGGCAGTTTCAAAAGCTAGGGGTTCACTGAATTACAATCATATCTGAGGTCCCAGGAGTTGGAGAGAAAAGCTGGACCTAATTTAAAGTATACAAATGATGAAATTGTGAATCAAATGCCTTTTACCCCTCCATGATAAGGTTAAGAGCATTCGAATGGAGTTCAAGGCCCCAGAATCTCGCTTCTCGTTTATCGTATGGCGCAGCCAGTCACTCACATGCGCTCGTATTCATAACCTCTGCAAAACACAAGGAAGGAGAGAAAGTATATATGCATACTCCGTACTCAGAAGGCTATGTTTCGCGTACATCTTGCTCTTTTCAATACAATTGGGAATACCGTATTCAGTAGATGTGGAGTTGGTGGCGTCCTGCAGCTCCCTTGTCAACTTTAATCCCACGTCTTTTGATCGAATCAAAACCTGCAGCAGTGTTGGATTTCAGCATCCGCGGACGGCCATTTCTTCACGCCACTTAAATCTGTTGGCGGCCTGCCAAGATCTTTGGCTATGCTTAATAAGGCCAATCCTTTTCCACGACCGTTCTCACGACCTGGATGCCAATTGTCCTTTTGATTATGATTAAATCACACCCGTTCTTCCCCCACACTATCTGACATCGCTCTACTCCCTGTCCAGCATTAGGGCGCACCATAAGTGATACTCACTTGAGATTACAATGCCCCCAGCCACCCCGTTTCAGTACGACCTTGGCTCACCGATTGATTGAGGTCAAAGAGGAAAATTAGAACACCGGCACCGTTCTTGGATTCTAAGTTGTTCTAGATTGTTGATGGATGGGCGGCTTTAAAAGGTGTTGAAGACACATCTTATCGCGATAAACGTCACCCACAAAGGGCTTATATGTGGATAAACGCTAAGCCAGCACCAAGTAGCCAGCGAACAGCTCTCCGGCCTTCGACTATTTCTCCAATCTTGTAAATAAGCTCGTTAATCAGCTTCAGGGTATCACAGGACTTGATCATGGAGCTGTCCGGCGGCGAAGATCATGATGGGCTTGGTAGAATCGCACCTAAGCATCTCAAGAATTCAGACACATTCGGCCTCGGAGAAATTCGAAGAAAACCACTTTCGCCACCACAACCAAGCTCTCTATTCTCGGGAAGGACAAGCCAAGAAAGCAGTTCCAGTTCTCCAAATTTCAACCACACAGAGTCATACAACTACCATACCAGTCGCTATGATGGGTTACAGCAATCCACAGACGATTCCTTCGCAAAACATTACCCTGGGGGATCTTTTATATCTGCAACCTCGATCAAATCAGCGGCATCTGTCAACACCCAAAATTCCGAATCTAGGCTCCTTGGACTCTCCCCGAACATCGATCTGAGTCGGGCCCCATCGCCTTCATATGAGCCATCCATGAAAACCAGCCGCTCGTGGTGGGACTGGTTCGATCCCATGTGGTCAATCTACATATTCTTCTTTCTTGGTGTCGTCGCGGCTATATCACATCATGCATTCTATATGTCCTTAGATGGAACTGAAGCAAAGCAACAGCTTGTGATGCTTCGGTATGGCGGCGTGCTTTCTTACGTTTCCAAGGCCTCCTTCATGGCTTCTATCGTTTTGTCCTTCCGTCAGCAAATTTGGGCGACTTTCAGAAGGAATCTCTTGTCGATAGATGCTATCGATAGCTTGTTTGCCGTAATGGAGGACCCGACCGCGATGCTCAATCTCGAGGTGTTTAAAAATGCTAAAGTTGCCATGTTTCTAGCAATAGCAGTCTGGTAAGTCCAATCGAAATTCTCGCTTACTTTGTCCAACTTTACATCGTGTCCAGTCAATTCTCGGGGGGAAGCAGCCGCATAAAGAAGAAATCTTTTCAGGGAAAGCTACTTCTTGTAGGAGCGGCTTTCTGTCCCCTCGATATGTGTTGATACAGAACTTTGCAATTTGAACTAAAGGTCAGCAGTATTTGCCTGCTAATGTTTATAACAGGCTTTCGCCTTTGTTGGTAATATTGACACCTGGAACCCTTACTGTAGAACCAAGGACTTTGGTCAACATCACCTCCTGTTCATCTGTCACTACCCTGAACTTCACCCCAGAGGCCACGTGGGAATGGCGTAATCCACCAAGAATTCACGACGTTATTGAATTGTCCATCGCCTGGTACAACACTACAAGTAGGAATGTAGAGGACCCCGATTTTTTCGACTACTTCTCGGCAGCAAGCCAGCAAGTTGAATTGTCGAGTAGAATAAGTGCTTACTTGCAAAAGCCAGTTCCGAGAAGAAACGTAGCTCTCGACATATGTGGCTCCGGCTGGAATTGCAGTTATTCAATTGCCTTCAAAGGGCCAGGTTACAAATGTTCCGACCAGGACATCGTTAGTGAGTAGTCCTTGTTGTTATCCGAAAAATCCGATAAAGCTATGATTGGAATTTTGGGCTGAGTCGCTCAATCGCAAGTCCCGATGCTATGCTATAAATGGCAATATCCTACTTGTCTTTATTCCCTTCAACTTTATGGAGCACTATATATGACATTCTAACTCTGATCAGATTCACCATTCACCACTAGCTTACTACTACCAGAAGGCAACGCCTCATACATTGCCCACGCAACTGTAGGTGACTATGCCAAGCCCCAGATTGACTGCGGCGAAGGCGGTATCCCTCTGCAGACGCCCCCTTACCCAGAGCGACTGGGTGTCTTTAGAACCGACCCAGTCCTATGGATCGGCTATTCGAGTCTCAAGGAAGGCAAAACAAAACCCGCAAACTTATCAGAAGTTATCAAGGCCGACGTGTTCCAGTCCAAGATTTTTAGCTGCCGGCATTACGAGACGAATTACGAGGTTTCTTTCAATTATAGCTCTCAGACGCAGGACACGACTGTGACGAAGCGTGAGTTTTTGAAGCCTATAATAGATACAACATTCATTCCAGGTCAAGACGCGAATGATGGCACAAGAGACAATACGACGGCAGCCCCCGAAGCAAATTATATATATCCGAAAGATATGGAGAAATACAAGCTCACGGCCGCATACTACTCCCTCGGTGCGCAATTGCGAAATCATATCAATGGCACCATGCAATTCGATGACGAGACAGGAACAATCACGAAGACGGAGGCGACGAACACCAAACTCTTCAATTTGGAGACCTATTTGCCAGTCGAAAACTTGATGAGCCAGCTCCAGTCTTTCTATGAGGATATGATACTTTCTCTTCTCTCGAACCCGCACTTTCTCGTAGTGGCTTGGGCTGCAGGTCCTGCAAACCTCAGTGGCGAACCCAAGGGCGGGCCAATGTACGAATGCACCAAGACTCGCGAACGAAACGTCTTTGATTATCGCGCAAGAGACTTGTGGCTTGTCTATGGTACTTTCATACTTATCTCTTTCGTGAGTGTTGTACTAGGAAGGATGGCCAGATCGCAAAATTCAGGGACTTTCAGAAACGATAGGTTTTCTAGCATCGTTGGGGCTACCAGAGGACCACATTTAGATCATCTAGACTGGAGAGTTGATTCGAAGGGAGATATGCCGCCGGAGGTTGGGAAAGCGAAAATTGGTTATGGTCTGGTCATATCGAACACAGGAGTCGATCATAACCTTGGGGAAATATTTTTCAAGTCTGAATGAGACTACGAGGATTACGGCGCATGAGAAGTTCAGACACGCATTCCAGATGTGTCCCACCTACGTGAGTAGATTGATGTA